CCATCATGTCCGGCACGTCAGAGGGTTTCTCAAGAATCCTACATATGACGCCATGTGAATCGGGCTCTTGAATGGTGGGAGGGACCTCTTCAACGATGACAGTGGCCTCTTGAACGGTGGGAGGGGACTCTCGAGGAATGATAGGGGCCTCTTCAACGATAGGAGTGGACTCTTGAGGGATGATAGGCGAGTCGGGCTTCTTCTTGCGGTGTCTTCGCACTATTGGGGTATACGGAGACTTAATAGCACGTGCACGCCGTCTGATGCGTGAACTCTGTCGTGCAAGAAAAACCCGACGTAAAACATCCACCTTATCGGTCTGCTAAATAAAAATACAAATATCAGTAAATAAACAGACATGATATTTAAACAGTGAAAACAAAGATAAATATATTTCAAACTTTCAACCAAAAGACAAAACAAAGACAAATACTAACTTCACAGTGTTAAAGTAAAAAGTTTAGCAGTTTTGGCAGCAACCGAATAAATTTACTAAGCAATCTAAGTGAAATGGTTAATTTAAGTGAAATTACGAGTAAATTTATCATCAAGTTAAATATGGAAAATCTTAAACTTACCTCGTTGCATAGAGTATGAACCTCATTCTGTAACGATACTACCATCTCACGTAGAGCGGCAACCTCACCACGTAAAGTAGACACCTCCACACGCCATGCACCATCGTTATCGCGTAGAGTACCGATCTCCTCACGCAAGGCATTGACCTCATCACGTAACTCCCTTGACTCATCCCGTGGAGGTGGATAACAGGGAGATAGAAGTCGTGGCATCTTTGTCGGTCGCCTATCATGAGGTGATGGTGGAGAAGAGACTCAATGATGTGACGGGATAGGTGATGGCTCTCGTTGTAGAGGTGTATAGTCGGGTCGATCAGGTGATGGCTCTGGGTGAGGTGATGGATCTCGAAGTGGAGGAAGTGGAGGCTGCTCATCATTCGTGCCATCAAAAAAATGCTGACTAGCTTGCCACCAATCAGTGGCAAGCTCAGCCTCCGTGGGTGTCAGTCTCATTAATGGAGTGTTGGCCTCCTAAAAATATAAAAACTAAAACAAAGTTAAACGTCTACTATTAATAACTTGTTTATATGATAGTATTTGTGTTAACTTACATTATTTATTGTCGCATATGGTATTAAGTCTTCCCAATCCAACATACGTTTCCTCTTCCAGGAAATAGCCCTAGGAATATCATCTGAGGATTTTAATGCATATGTCCGCATGCTGGGGAAAGCCTCGAATATCCAAATCTACAAACAATATAATAACAAACATTAGTAATTGTTAAATAATTAATTATAATTTTGAAAACATTATATAGAAATTCTTACCTTAAAGGCCCAAACAAAGTCTGACAAAGTGTATTTCGACCCATCGCCCCGCAAACTTTTGCGGTCATCAAAGGCAGACGACAACTTAGTCCAGGTAGCTTTCCATATATACGAACCCCACGGAAACAGATTCCATGCATTTAGGTCCTCTACCAATAATATTAGCTCCTGAGGAATAGGTTGTCTGGCCTCTCTGCCTAAAAAGCCGGCATACAAAAGTAGTAGAAGGCATACTCGGACAACATCGACGTCATTCATCCGAGTAAAACCATCTTTCTTATTAAACAATTTCTTCATGTCGTCGACGTGTAAGTTCGGCTTCTCTATTGACTCATTAGGAAAAACCCTGGATAACCATGATGGGCGGGTGATATGACGAGTGTACCGGCCTACATCATCGTGTCCGAATCGTAGACCAGTGATTAAGCAGAACTCTTTCCGCCCAAAACAAGTATACGCCGGTGGAAAATGAAACCATATCTCTTCCTCACCACGTTGTATACTGTCGGGTAGATCGCTAGTCATGGTTTGAAGCCACAAATGGGTCAAACTAGCATCTCCACCCGGATGCTGTACTCTCAGCCATGGCCCGAAGCAGGTTTCTTCAAACAATTTTCTTTGTGCAGGTGAAAGCTTCGAAGCAATTGTAGTGGCTAGGCTAACTTTATTCCTTAATGTCAATGAAGCCGAAAAAATTTCTACAAAAAAACAATAAACATACCAAGTTAGATATACCAAAAATTACACTGTCAAGATATACCAAAAACAAAACAATAAACATAAATAGTAGTTTATTCTTGAAACTAAAATTTGCAACACTGTTTTTGTCTTTTGGTTGAAATGAAAATCGCAACGAGATAATGAGAATCGCAACGCGGAAATGACTATCGCAACGAGAGAATCGCAACGCGAAATGACTATCGCGACCAGACAATCGCAACGCGAAATGAAAATCGCAACTGCGAAATAAAAATCGCAACGCGAAATGAAAATCGTAACGCGAAATGAAAATCGCAATGCGATTTTGGTTTCGCGTTGCGAATTTTTATTTCGCGTTGCGATAGTTATTTCCGCGTTGCGAGTTGCGATTTTCATTCTCGAAACTATTCTTCTTCTGCATTACTTCAACCAAAAGACAAAGCAAAGACAAATACTAACTTCACAGGCTAAACAGTTTAGCAGTATTGGCAGCAATCGAATGAATTTAATAAGAAATCTAAGTGAAATGGTTAATCTATTATTGAAATTACCAGTAAACTTATCATCAATCTCAATATGAAAAACCTAAAATAATGCAAAAATTTCAAAATAAAAAAAACTAACCCTCGGAGGTTGATTTTTCATTTCTGAATGATTGTGAGGGATTTTTGACTGTGAATGGTTGTGAGGGATTTCGCCGGCGATGGGGACGGAAATCTTTGGAGATGGGGACGGATTTCGCCGTAGAGAGTGAGAGATGGAGATGGGGCTGAGTGTTGTGTTTTTGGGTTTGAGGTTATGAGTTGCGATTACTGTGGACGGTTCAGTTTCCGATTTATTAAGAAAAAATTCGTGTTTGGAATTTGAAAAAAAAAATACGCGTTAATACGAATGGCGTTATGTAAATCGCGTTGCGAAAGTCAGAATCGCGTTGCGAAAGTCAGTATCTCGTTGCGATTTTGTATTATCGCATTGCGATAGTAAGTATCGCATTGCGATAGTCAGTATCGCATTGCAATTTTCCCAATTCGCGTTGCGATTTACTTATTCGCATTGCGAATTGGGAAAATCGCAACGATACTGTAGACCATCGCAACGCGATTTTCAACTATCGCATTGCGAAAATGCAACGCGAATTTGCGATAATGGAGATCGCGTTGCGAATTAGCGATCGCATTGCGATTTTGTTGGTCATTTTGGCAAATCCGGAAAAAGTTGGTTAAAATCGTATATTATATGGGATTTTTGGTCACTGAGGTTATTTTCTCTATAAATTTATCTTGCAGTGGGGAATGTGGAGCTGGGAAAACTGAGACCGTGAAATTTGCATTGCAGTACCTAACTGCCATTGGAGGTGGAAATGTTGAGATAGTGTCAATTCCTCCAGGCAAGTTTTATACTTGAAGCATTTGGGAATGCAAAGACATCTAGGAATGACAATGCTAGCAGATTTGTGAGTTCTTTTCCGTATTTATTTTAAAATTGTTCTCTGCTGAAGGTGTATATATATATATATAGGTTATATCTCATGGCTGAAAGAATCTTTTCTGACCTTAGTGAAGGAGTTTCTACTTTGGCTCATGTATTTCATAACTGCTAAAGCTCAGAAATTATGTCTTATAAATTATTCTGTTATGCTGAAATGATGTAGGGGAAACTTATGGAGATTCCTTTTAGTAAAGTAGGGGAGATATCTGGTGCGAATATTCAAACTTGTAAGCATGTTGAAAAAGAAAAGATTGCTATTATTACTTGATACATTGTAGTGATGAATAATATTAGATAAATCCTGGCAACTGACTGGTTTTTGTGTTAATGTTGATTCACCAACAATACTTCTGGGTAGTTCTTCTAGAAAAGGTGACTTCCCGACTCCATTAAACTTCATATTGAATTTTATCACTGTTATCATGTAAAATATCTGATGTGAATGTTTTCCAATGTTACCTTTGAGCAGTTGAGAGTAGTTCAGCTGGCCTCTTCTGAAATGTCTTACAATATCTTTTATCAGCTTTGTGCTGGTGCTTCACGAACTCTAAGGGGTACTATTTCATTTTACAGAGTTTAATCAGAATAGGTTGTGAGTGTCTATAACATTGGTTCCGCGCTATATCATCTACATGGAACTATGCTAGCATGCTTGCTCCTGCTATCTCTTGAAGCTGTAAACCTTTTAAAGAATGGTATCATACCATTTAAATCTCAAGGTTTCTCAAGTTATTCTTGCCGCGTCCTTTTTCATTCATTGTATGGGTGCTATATCTATTTTGAAATGCCAGAGCCCCTTAACATCTCCTTTCAACTAGAAATGAATACATCATAACTTCTGCAACTTCGCGACTTTTTAACTTGAATCTGTGTAATCTACTTTTGATCTTTTAAATCGTGTGTTTGCAGAGAAACTGCATCTTAAAAAGGCTGATGAGTACAACTACCTGGCCCAGAGTGACTGCTTGGTGATTAATGGTGTTGATGATGCTCGGGAATTCCATAAGCTTATGGTAACTCATAAGACTAGATTTTAGTGTTACCATAGTGCTGGCATTTCCATTCCATACAATTTCTATCCCATTGCCTTTTAAGCCATAATTTCTCCATTTCTGTAGGAAGCCTTGGGCATTGTTCAATTTTCCAAAGAAGAGAAAGACGAAGTGTTTGAAATGCTTGCTGCAGTGTTATGGCTGGGAAATATATCATTTCAAGAAATTGACAATGAAAATCATGTGGAGGCATCAAATGATGAAGGTAATAATATGGGTATTTGCTTTGCATAATGGTATTCTTCAGAAAAACAAAAACAAAAAAATTGCATTAGATATTGTATTAACATCTAGGATTTTTCTGTTTCTTTTCTTGTAGCTGAGAGAGAGGAGAGAGAGGATTCTTTCTTTGTTGTAGCATTTTTCAAGTAACTGTACTGAGAGCCTTGCATAGTTTTACGATGGTGATGTCTCATTGGCAAGATGGTGGTACATAAAACCAAATCGCAAGCAGCTCTCTAGCATGTATGATGAGGATCATGTCTTGCAGCAGCTTAGATGTTGTGGAGTTTTTGAAGTTTTTAGAATCTCTAGATTTGGATATCCTGCTCGAATGACACATCAGAAATTCACAGAAAGGTAAAGGCTAAAGCCTCCTTTAGTTATGACTTGTTTTGACATTTTTAGTGTTCCCTCTAATTTGTTCCCCATAATTGTTCATGTAATATGTGTTTAGGTATGGCTCGCTACTGTTGGAAACTAATGAATCCCAGGATCCTTTAAGTATTTCATTTGCTGTTCTAAAACAATTTAATGTCCTCCCTGAAATGTATCAAATTGGCTACACCAAACTGTATCTTCGAATTGGGCAGGTAAGTTTTTTTATATTTCTCTTGATGTTTAGATGTAATTTTCAACCTTGATTGCTCTTTCCCCAAACATTTCCAAGACCTATGCGAGACTAAATAATTGCAAGTCAACCAAGTTAACTTTTGGTTTATTCATATCAAGAGCTTATAGCTAGACTTCATATGAGGCCGGCAGCCCAGCACTACGGGTGAGAAAAACTCGACTCGACTTTAAAAAATTTTAAGTTCAAACCGAGTTGTAAACTACATCTCAATAACTCCAAATTTTTAGTAATTAGTGGATTGATTTTCAAGTTTGAGTCGAGTCCCTCGATTATGTATGATATATGTATATTTTTTTTATAGGAATAGTAGGCCTCAATAAAACCCCCTTCGTGATTAACAGAACTTAAAAATAGTTCCTTAATCCGCAAAAGGAGGAAAATAGTGCCCTAGGATTTCATTAACCTCAAATATAAGAAAGTAATACAAACTAATCTCCCTCAAGAGATACAAAACCAGAAAGAAACAGCCCTTAACAGAACATAATTCAACCAATACCAGCCTTAGCTAGGACATCCGCCTCTATATTGGTTGTCCTACTAACCCAACTAATAAAACCTTCATAAACACTAAGCTTTTGAATAATATCTTTAGCAATTTGAACATAAACAACAGGACAAGAAACCACATCCTTAACCCAGCCAATTGCCACCTTACTATCATTCTCAATAATCAATCTATTTTTAAACCTATGGCGAATAGATTCATAAAAAACTAAACCCTTTAGGATAGCCTTCAATTCCATTAAAGTTGGGGGGCCCGGACCAGCAGGCTCTTTGAAGGAGCCAAAATCGAACCAGACATGTCTTTCAAAATACCACCTAAACCACTCCTCTTCCAATCACTCGAAGTAGCCGCATCCACATTAAATTTAATAAAACCCTTTGGAGGAGGGGACCAAAGAAACATGGTTGAAGTCCAATTAGAATGGGACGAGTAGGAATCCACTAAGGAAGGGTCAGCAATAAGATCATCCTTGGAAATAGTAATCTGAGTTTCCTTAGCTAGAAACCATGAAGTAGGCCTGCACCTTGCTAGAAAGAAAATTTCTGCTCGATCAAGCTTCCCTCCTTCAAACACTATAAAATTCCTGGTCTTCCAAATTGTCCATAAAACAGCTCCAGGGATAAATGACCAGATAAGAGAGTTGGTCTTCAAGTCATTCCAAGCCAATAGGAATCTTTTAGCATCTGCCTGAAAAACAGACTGAAAATTCCAATAGCCCAAGAATTTCAACCAAATTGGCCAAACAACCGAACAGGAAAAAAATAAATGCGATGAAGACTCTTCTTCTAGATTACAAAAAGAACACAAAGTATCATTTATGCCCTGAACACCTCTCTTAACCAGAGCTGCCTTCACTGCCAACTTCTTTAAGATAACTTGCCAAAGAAAAGTCTCTACTCTTGGAGGCAACAGATCCCTCCAAACAATAGACTTCCAAAATTTAGCTTCCTCCGAATCGGGAGAACCCGAATAAGATAGATTGACACATGATTTCATAGTGAAAACCCCTTCTCCAGTCCCCTTCCAAAACAGTCCATCAATAGCATCAGCAGAAATAGAAAAATCAGAGATAACAGCCATCAAATTTGCCCATTGCTCAAATTCCCAGTCATTCAACTCTCTTCTCAGCTGAATGTTCCAAAACCAGCCCCCTGAACTGAACTCCCCAAACTGAAATAATCTTCCTGTTTTGTTCACTGCAATAGAGAATAGTCTAGGGAACAATACCATCAAAGGATGATCCATTGCCCAATTGTCTTGCCAAAACCGAATGTTCTTCCCATTGCCAATTTTATAGCTATATTTGCCTCTGATACTACAACCCAACGAATCAGCTTTATAATGATTACTCACCATAGCTCTCCACATCCAAGAAAATTTAGAAGAAACTTTACTGTCGAACTGCATCAAGGAAGGGTCCAATTTATATTTGATGCAGAGCATTTCCCTCCAAACCGCCTTCCTCTCAATAGCAAACCTCCAAGCCCACTTTTCCAAAAGTGCCCTATTCACCACATTTAAATTAGGAACCCCCAAGCCTCCTTCAATTTTTGGTTTACAAACGTCGGACCAGCATACCCAATGGATCTTCTTTTTCCCATCTCCACCACCCCATAAAAAATTTGACATAATAGAATTTAGAGTCTTGTAAACTGAAGCTGGAACCTTGAACATTGACAAAAAGTATATAGGGAGTGAGCTTAGGATTGATTAAATTAGAACTAGCATGCCTGCCAGTGACAGAGAGGAGCCTTTCCAGCCCGCTAACCTCTTATTCAAGCTTTGAACCACTGGATCCCATAGAATGTTGGAGTTCCTATGTGGACCTAGAGGGAGTTCCAAATATTCTGAGGGAAAAGAACCCACTGAACATCCAATCATAGCTGCCCAATCCTTAATTTCCTCTTCCTTTAAGTTCACCCCAAATAATTTACACTTCTTCAAGTTCAGCTGAAGACCAGAAATAATCTCAAACACTCGAAGCACCCTCTTCATATTCAAGATCTGTTTTTTCGACGCACCACAGAACATAATAAGGTCGTCAGCAAATTGCAGATGAGTTAAATTAAAATTCCTCTCCTCTTTTCTAATGACCAAACCCGAAAAACGCCCTCCTGAAACAACCTTAAGTATTAATAAATTCAAGAGTTCCCCAACTATATTGAACAACAATGGAGACAAGGAACAACCCTGCCAAAGACCCTTCGCCATTGGAATTTTCTCGGTAGGAACCCCGTTCACCAAAACTGAAACAGTTACTGATGTGATACATTTCGAAATCCAACCTATCCATCTAGAACCAAAGCCCATTTCCTTCATTATTTTGAACAAAATAGGCTAGTCAAGAGTATCATATGCCTTCTTGAAATCAGCCTTAAAAACACAACCTTTTAAACCATTCTTCCTCCAAAAGTCAATCCCTTCATTGGCTATAAGAGAGCAGTCCAGGATTTGCCGACCGGGGATAAACACGAATTGACTTGGACTGATCAAATCTAAAATGCAGCTCCTAAGTCTTCTTGACAGACATTTAGAGAGTATCTTATACAATCTACCAACTAAGCTTATAGGTCTAAAATTGTCCAGACCACCAATGTTTGAAATCTTTGGAATAAGAGTGATGAATGTGTGATTTACTCCATGTTCCCATTCCTTCCCCAAGTAAAAATTATGAAAGAATTTCATAATATCTACCTTAAGGACCTGCCAAAACCTCTTGAAAAATCCCAGATTAAAGCCATCAGGACCCGGAGCTTTGTTACTACCACAAGACTTCACAACATCCCAAACTTCCTCCTCAGAAAACTCCTGCTCTAAGAACTGATTCTGCTCCAAATAAATTCTGGGAAAATCCAGTTTCAAATCATCAATTTCTAACGTAGTTCGTTCATTATAGATCTTAAAAAAATACTCTTTAACTATGGCCTTAATTGCAATTGGATCTTCAACTGTTTCCCCTTTGAAATTTAGAGCAAGTAGAGCATTCCTTTTGTTCCTAATCGTAGCACAGGTATGGAAGTATTTAGTATTACGATCCCCATCTTCAATCCAATTAGTTCTCGAGTACTGAAACCAGATCTGCTCCTGAATCTTGTGAAGCTTCCACAATTCTGCTCTAAAATTTTTCAACTCTGTTAATACCTCACTGTCGACAACACCTTGCTTCTGTTGAATATCAACCTCTATCAGCTAAATTTTCTTCTCTGATCTAACTTAGAAATCAAAGCTCCTGGATACTTATCTCTGTTTCCAGACCACTTCTTAATTGCTTGTTTGGTGTTCCTCATCAGACTAAAAACGCCTGCCTTCTTCTGACTATCCTTACCACTCTGAATAGAAGAAACAACTAGATCCTCAAAACCCTCCTCATCCATCAAATAATTGAATAATCTAAACGGTTTTTGTCATGGTGGGAGGAGAAAGGCGAGAACATGAAGAGGGTGAGAGAGAATTGGGGGAAATGAGACGAGGGTTAGGGATTGAGAATGAGGGATTGGGGATTCTGGCACGTGAAGGAAATGAAGATAACTTACCTCTGGAGCAGATCAGTAGGAGTGGATTGGATATGAAGCAGCTGGAGCGGCCCAAGGGAATTAAAATAGCTGAGCCCAATAGTCCATATCTGCCAAACAAATGAAGAAGGAATGAATTTGTTAGATTCAGTTACAAAGGACAGCCAGCTGGCATCCTTAAGATTCTGATAGATTGTAACTAAATAAAACGAGCTGTGATGATGTATTTTCCTTATGATATGAATGAACAAGCATTTCTTCTCTGAAATCTCTAAAATTTCTCTCTATTCCTATTACATATTTCTCAAATTCTCATCTATCTATCCCAAACCATAACAGTTTTCTACCCCAATCCACTCATTTATTCTCCAGAACTATAGCATTATGATCTGACAAAGATCTTGGTAGAAGAGACTGCAAAATGCCCGGAAACAACTCTAGAAAGTGACAATCCACCAAAAAACGGTCCAATCTTACAAAAGTGGGATTCTCTTGGTTATTACACCAAGTGAACCTACCCCCATTCATAGGGAGATCAATTAAGCCCGTATGAAGAATGAACTCATTAAAGATCTCCATTGAACTCCTACTTTGACCCCTTCCCATTTTCTCATCTTCTTGTAAATAGACATTGAAATCCCCTCCCACACAAACGGGATAATTCTGTCCACTAAGAAAACTGCTTAATTCTTCAAAAAAACCAGATTTCTCCTCCTCCACTGCTAGACCGTAAACATTGATGAAACCACACCTAGAATTATTATTCCGAAATTTACCAAAAGTAGTTATAAATCTCCTGCTAATAAACTGACTCTCCAGCTCAAAAACATTGTCATCCCAACAACACAACAGGCCCCCTGTTGATCCAACTGAAGGAGATTCCAAAACTCCTTTTAGCTTATTAATTCCACTTCTCCTAAAAAAAGACCTAAATTTCTCAGTCTTAGTTTCTTGCAGCCAAAGAAAAGTAGTATTAAAGCTGGTGACTAAATTCTGAACAGCCCTCTTTTTTTTCGTTTTCCCCCAAGCCCCTAACATTCCATGAACATATTACTAACTTTGTCATCTTCATAAAAGGAAATAGGTACAGACACAACCCTCAATCAACCAAACCTTTATTAACCCCATTCACGCATTTCTCTAAAGCTATGATTTTTTTCCAAAATGGCTTCTTTCCCTTCCTTAAAAGACACATCCAAAAGCTTGCTAACCTCCCAAGTTTCTACCGCTTCTTTCAATAGAATCGAAAAAGCTGAGGAGGATGATGTATCAATGCTCACCTGGTCAATGTCTTCTCGATACAGGATCCTTTTAGTTCTTCTCTTCCTTCTAATCAACAAACCAGAATTGGACCTTAAGCATTCACCTTCTGAAAAGTAACCTTCAATCTCCCTCTCTACGCTCCCACCCCCAGATCCATTATCAAGACGAGGAACAAGACTCCCATCAGCAATGTGCTCTGCTGATAAACAAAGCTGATTTTTAGTACTGGAATCAACATCTAGCTCCCTCTGCTTAACTATGATACCCCCTGTTTCAGACGAGATGTTCAACAAATCCCCATACCAGTATCTTCTTTCCCTCGACCTGTTGTAGACCCTTTTGCAACTGCTCAAACTTCTAGTTTCCAGCACATTACTCTCTGTTGTGAACTTTCTTCTAGAGCGATGTAACTGCCTCCCCCTTGAGTTGAATCCTAAATTAGTTGAAACCAGTTCCACCGGTCTTAAGTTTTCTTCTTCAGGCTCTATTTCTGCACTAACTGGCTTCTCTACAATTGGGCTCGTCTCCAATACATTAGACACTTCCCTGTTTTTTCCTGATAAATGAAGGTTTTCAACCAATTCTCCAAACTTATTAATTGTAAATGCTGGCCCAGAAATGAAACCCGAAAAGTCTTTTGACCCAGACTGCCCAGAGTCTTCAGAATGGGCCTGAGATCCATCAGCCGGATAATTTTGACTTCTAATCCCCAAACCTGCATACTCACCAACTTTAAAATTCCCAACAGTCTGACTTTCTGACAGACCACATTTAATATCTTTCATATCTAAGGAAAGTCTTGCTAGCTGTCTGTCCTCACTAGCTCCTCCAGAAACACGAAACACTCCCTGGTCAATCCAATTGTCCACTGACAGACAATTTTTCCCTGCTGCGCAAGTCTCACCTTCCCCATGATCTAACAATAATCTGTCTTCATCCTTCTCAGACATACTCTCTTCAAAAAATATCTCACTGGAATCCTCCACCGAAAAATTACTGAAAAACGAACTTGAATAATCACTAGCTGATCCAATCTTGATACTTACTTTGAATGATCTTCCATACGGTCCAAGAGTAATCACCTTTGGAACATCAAAGGGACTTTCCACCTTCAATAAAATTCTTGCCATTGTGAGGTCTTCTCTTTTCCTTGTACTATCATGAATATCTACCACACTGCCCCATCTACCAGCCAACTTCTCAAAGAAGGATTCATTCCAGCATAACAAAGGAACCCCTTTTAATTCTGCCATGCAAAAGGCCATTGGGACACCGGTTTCATTCAGTAAAGGTTCCACTCGCTCAAACCACTGTTTTAAAACCTCTTCCTTGTTGCTCCATAACTCCAGCATCTCCTCATGAGATTTGAGAACTATCACACAAGAATTCCAGACATAGCCCCATCTAGCAATTTGAACATCATAGCCTTCTTTTAATAAGGCATTCCGAATGAACTCAGCTTGAAAAGAGTATTTGATAATCCCTATTAACGACCTCTTCACCCAGTTGGCACTTTCTGATGGAATATGCATCTCAAATATATTTTTCTTGACATTCCTCCTCTGGATATCCTCAGACAATAGATCATTGTTCCCCCTTCTATTCCCATTAGACAACAGAGCATCCCTATAAGTTCTGTCGTCCCTTCTGCTTCTATTAATGTTTTCTCTTTCTCTTGATTTTGAAGATTCTGCATTAATCTGACCAGCAGCCTTGTTTGAAGAAGAAAGCACCACCCTTGACCTTGAACGTTCATCCTTAAATCTGGCAGGACTAACTGAGATCTTCCTTCCATCAATCACAACCCCGTTAAACTCATCAACAGCCCTCTTCAGATCTTCCTCCCTCTTAAAATAAACAAAAGCAAAGGTGGAAAATATGTATTTTGGATTTCTAATTTGGCGGGGAATAAAAACTCTCATAACAGGACCATGGACTAAGAATAATTCCCTGAGCGTACGATGAGAAACCCTTCTACTAAGATTGTCAATAAACGCCGACCAACACTCATCAGGAACTGACTTTCCTTTCAAATTCTCTCTCTCTACGTTTTTCTCTCTCTCACTCATTCTTAACTAGTATTAGAATTAAGGCTTTGATATATGTATATCACATATGAAAAAAAATATGAAGAAATATATATGTATTGTATATGGTTATAAAAAACCATTTAAATTGGAATAAAATAATATCATAATATTATAAATATTTATAACTAAATTTAAACAGTTCGAAAATTTGACTCGAGTCAACTCGACTTGACTCAAAAAAAAATTAAGTCAACTTCGAGTGATAAAATAAGACTCGTCAACTCAACTCGACTCGATCGAACGCTCACCCTTATATATATATATGTATATATGCCAACCAGCTTTATATTTGACTGTAAATGGATCGGTGTTGCATATAAATGCTTGAAATGTTTCTTAGTGATTAAAGTAGGACCTTCATGTTAATATGCTTTTTTTTATAGGAATGTAAGGCCTCATTAAAAAACCCCTTCTTGATTAAGGAGCTTGATAATAAGCTCCTTAATCAGCTTGATAATAAGCTCCTTAATCAACGGAAAGAGGAAAAGAGTGCCTTGAATTTTATTAATAATAGAAAAATTACATAAGATACAACCATTACACCAATGACAGTACATAAAACTTAAAAACATCCCCTGGCACAAAAGCCTTTACAATACCTAAGACTTAAAAGCACCCCCTGCCATAAAAACCTTCACAGTTGATTAGAAAACCATGGTTGACTCCTTGCAATCAACCTATCCCACTCTTAGCTAGATTGTTTGCCTCCCCATTTCACGCTCTTGGGATCCACCTCACTGAATTTACCTTACCAGTGATGAGAGTCGAAATCTGATAGACTATAGACATTAAGAAAACAGGAGCTAAACCCGAGGCATGAATCCATTCATGTTAATATGCTGAGTATTGGAAAATGGATATAAAAAGCTATTCCATTTCATTTTGTTTATGGTTATGTTATATAATAGTTTCTTTGATGCTGTTATGTCTGGCTGGGTTGCAGATTGGTGCATTTGAGGATAGGCGAAAACAGGTGTTGCCAGTAGGTGTTACAAAAACCATTGCACCAATAGGTGCTACAAAAACCATTGCTTGTTTTATAACTTTTTTGTTGTCTTAGAAGGTCAGAAGTTAACATTGTTTCATGCATTTAGTTTATCTTTCTGAATGACATTTTAGATTTGGTATTTAAACTCCTTTTTTTTTATAATAAGGAAGACCTCATTAAAAACCCCCTTCATATCCGTCAAGCACCAAAGACTTGACGAACATTGGAAGGCCTCATTAATAAGGAATGTCTCATTAAAAACCCCCTTCATATCCTTCTTTATTGCATAATACCCAGTTACAAAAAGATCATAGTACCGCCAAGAACCCTTGGCTGCCCTCAACACTGTGCAAAGATGCACTACAATTAAGCATAAATAATTACCCTATAGAAAACAACCTCCATATATGACTCAGCCAGGAACAAGCTTATACAATGAGCTAAGCTGTCAAATATTCCCTAGAAACTAAACAACAACAAAAATAAATCCCCTCCACTTAACCAATCCCTAATTTTGGCAATTTACCTTTTTTTTTTGATTGACTGGATGTTTCCCTTGCAATGCAGTTGCAGATGGTGAAATCCAAGGGAAGTACACTAATGAGGAGGCAAGTAGCTACTCAGAATCTGGTTCCCAATTACTTGAGCAGTTGACAGCAATCATAGATTTACAATCTGGTAAATTCCTTTTGTGCTAGCTACATTTGTGGGTTCTGTCGTCTGTAGTTTTCTTGTTTATCCTTATCAGTGTTTTCCTCTGTTGCAGTAATTCGTGGATGTTTGGTCCGGAAACATCTCAGTAACTTGCATGCTCTGAGATTGTTGAGATCTAGACTAGCGGTGTCTAGACAAAAATCCGAAGGTATTTTCTTCTCTTAACACGATGACATTACTTCGGTAAAGAAAAACATAATAAGATTACCTAGTCCGTTTTCTAAGATATTTTCTTTCTTGCCACGTCTATTTTCTCTTAGTTGCATGCCTCCAAGCATGTTTTAATTCAACAATTTGCTTATGGTTTCTGTTGAGAAACCCCAAAGGACATTAAATATGATCCTCCTTTTGGGGCTGACCAGGAAATCAGAAGCCTTCAGCAATGGCAGAGCTTCAAATAAGGATTCTCGACATGGAAGCAACTTTGGGGCAAAAAGAACAGGAAAATGCCACATTACGAGAACAATTACGACAGTATGAGGAAAAAATGCAAAATGAACAGGAAAATGCCATAGGGGAACAATTACAACTGTACACGGAAAATATGCAAAAAAAGATGAAAATAAAACATTACGGGAACAATTACAACAGTGCGAGGCAAAGATGCAAAAAGGACTGGAAAATGCCATACGGGAACAATTACAACAGTATGAGGAAAAAATGCAGAAGGAACAGGAAAATGCCATACCAAATGAGCAGCCTTCAGCAATGGTAGAGCTTCAAAGAAGGATTCTCAACGTGGAAGCAACTTTGGGGCAAAAAGAACAGGAAAATGGCACATTATGGGAACAATTACGACAGTATGAGGAGAAAATGAAAAAGGAACAGGAAAATGCCATAGGGGAACAATTACAACTGTATGCGGAAAATATGAGAAAAGAAGAGGAAATTGACACATTACGGGAACAATTACAGAGGCAAAGATGCAAAAAGAACTGGAAAATGCCATACAGGAACAATTACAACAGTACGAGGAAAAAATGCAGAAGGAACAGGAAAATGCCATACGGGAAGAATTACAACTGTGCGAAGCAAATATGCAAAAAGAACAGGAAAATCACATATTACGGGAACAATTACAGCAGGACGAGGAAAAGATGCAAAAAGAACTGGAAAATGCCATACGGGAACAATTACTAAAGTACGAGGCACATATGCAAAAATAACAGGAGAATGACACATTACGGGAACAATTAAAACAGTACAAGGCGAAGATGAAAAAAATGGAGGAGACGTTGCAGGAACAAACTGCATCCCTGCAAGTGAGTTTTTGAGCTTTTAGATAAATATCAATAACTACAACCTGTTTTAATTAGGTTGATTTTTTTTTTACCTCAACATAAAAGGTCCTAAGAATTACAAAAGTAATGCAGTCCTGATGATTGCAGCTAATCACGTTAACTATTTTGTTTATAATTGGTGAATGTAAATTTGGCAGAGAGTTCACAGCGTATATATGCCGTTTTGAGAATTTCATGTTCAGTGTAAATACACACATATATATTTATATGCTTGTTGATTTCAATTGCAGTTTTTTGCAGGCAATTCTTGCTGCAGCTGGAAAGAGTAACAGTCCTGATAGCCAGCTAAGAAGAGGCGATATTGATTCCAAAGATAATGTGTCCATGCAATCTTTAAGTCCTGGTGGAAATAAACCCGATGTCAAGGGCAGAAAAAATGGTGTGAGCAATCTGGTAAAGGAATTTGATCAACAGAAACAAACTTTTGAAGATGATGTGAACAGAACAGAATCTAATGTGAATTCTTATGAAGAACTACGCAAGTTAAAGCACAGGTTCAGGACATGGAGGAAAGATTTCAAGATGAGATTAAAGGAAATGAAGGCAAAACTCCAAAAGCGAAGAGATAAAGAATCAGACAAAACACGAAAAAAATGGTGGCCTGCGTGGGGTAAAATGTTACAGATACAGGCCTGCACTAAACCACCATCACCATAGACGGTCCAAGCATGCCGTGCTTCCGTTCTCGGGTTCAGTTTGGTAATATTTTATGGTAGCAAATATAAACGATTCTGTAGTCCGTAGACATATATCTACCGTTTTATGCTTCTTGGCGGAAGGATTGATAATGTGCATAGACAGATAGGAATTTGTTGAGGCCGCTTTATTCTTTGGATAGTTCGGTTTAGGTTGTGTATATTCTTCTGTTGTAAAGTGATGTAAGATCCAACTTTGTAGTTCCTTGTATACAGATGAAATGGGAATAAAATTATATTTTGGAAGCTTTAATCTCATTAATCCATCTAGATTTATCTCATGTTTTCATTTACATAGTTTAATGTATGTATTTATGTATGTATACATTGTGAAGTTCTTCCTACTGTTAATCTCAGTCAGTTATTTTCACTCATCCAACGGTCTTAAATCTGTGTAAAATTAAATAATTTTTACATTGTGTAATAGGATTCTCTCTCTCCCCCCCCTAATGTTTTCATTTACATAGTTTAATGTATGTATGTATGTATACATTGTAAAGTTCTTCCTACTGTTAATTTCAGTCATCTATTTTCACTCATCCAACGGTTCTAAATCTGTGTAAAACTAAATAAATTTTACATTGTGTAATAGGATACTCCCTCCCTCTCTCTCTCTGATAGTATGTTTATTTTATAATTTATAAATTTATAATTTTTATAATATTTTATGGTGTGTGTACATTTCAATTGGTTAAGAAAACTCTGAACAAATAATATTTTGTAAATCACCTTAAAATATTAAAAAAAACTAAGATATAATTATATGTTTTAATAAATTATTTATGAATTTGAAATTCTTATATCTCATCATTTCAATATTTTTAGATAAAAATATTTTTAAAGTATATATTTTTTTATTAAAAGTTATCTTAAACATATACAATTATTATAAATTTATTTTTTATAAAAATACTTTTATATTTTATTATAATCTAAATTGATATATTTCATATATTATAATAATAAATAATTTAAGCATTATTTTAAGAAAAAATATTTTTAATTTATAATATTATACATAAAATGATTATTTATATTTATATATTTTCAATTTAGTGGTAATCAAGATTTTTGTTATTCATAATAAATAAATTAAAAAGTAATCATGACGAGGTAACGTTAGAGAACTCCCCAGCATTTTGAAAATCTCTAACGGTCGAATTTTTAGAGATGGCTGACGCGATGTCACATAACCAAAACACTATCATTAAATTAAACCTTAATTCTTCACGATCGAATCCTCACCATCCAATCTTTTCAACTCCCAATCCAGCGGCTAGAAATCAACCCTCAAGAACTTTCTTCAAATCCTCATATGGTGATTCCAGAAAACGGCAACGTGTCTGGACTCTCAGTCTCTCTCTTTCCATTCCTCTGCTATAACAGAGAAGAAGCCAAAGAGCCAAACCCCTAGAAATAAAATGGAAAATTTAGAGCATTTAAATCACCTTTGTTTGATAATTATTTGATTCCAAATCAAAAACCCGCTTTTTCAAAAGGAGATTCAAGTACAGAGGGAAAAAAAGAAAATGGCCTTCAAGAATCAAAAAGATCACTGGGCATTTCTGGTAATAAATTAACACCCTTCTACTTTAAATTTCGTTTTCTTGATACCATTTTTCCTTTTCATTTCTGGGTTTTTATTTAATTTGTTCATGTATATATTTTTATTTTTAATATCTAAGTCTTGTTCCCTGTGGTTTTAAGTTAGTTACAATCTTGATGAATATTTTTTTTGGAGTTTCTTTGGATCGGTGAAATGATATACCTTTGATTACCAGAAAAGGGTATGTTTGTTTGCTGGGAAAATGCAGGGAACATGAAAAACAAAAGGTTTTATATGTTAAAAATGTTAAATTTTGATCATCTCAAAATATGCAAAAACTTATGTTCCTTTCTAATTTTATTGGGAAGGAAATGATATCAGGTCTCGCGAACTCTTTTCATGGTTTCTTGCCAATGAATGCCCTTTTGATTTTTTTTCATTGAAATATGTAGGAAGAAATTGAAGCGCCGATGTGGGTGGATCTTACTTCAGAAATAAAGCTCAATAGCCAAGACATGTGAGTTTCAGCCAACTTGTTTGATTTTTAAGTATTTTGATGGACACGTTAACAACCATAAAAAAAATCTGATTTGTTTAGTTTATTTGTTATGATTTTGCAGTGATGATGAATGGTTTCAAACAAGTCATTTGTAAGCATCTGTTCATTATTCAATTACTGTTTGATTACTATGGGATTAGATTTAATGACATTAGGTTAGATTAAATTAAGTCAATGTGAGTTTTCAGGTTTCACCAATGCTCTTCTAGCCAGTTGAAATCGGCCTTTTTGTGTTCCGATGAGAAAGGGGTAACCTTAGAGTTGGGCATGGTTGGCACAGCTTCACCAACACTTCCACAGTCAGTTTCGAGATCAAGAGGCAAGGACTTCAGGAGCAAGAAATGGAAGGGAATTAAACCGAAGCATAGCTTTATAAATTCGAAAGGGAGATCTAGCTCGAAAACAAGTTTGGTTTCTGAAATAACTGAGAATGCCAAAGGAAAATATGTCAAACCTGTGTCTACCCGAGGAGATCAGGAAAGAAGTTCGAGTCCTATGGCAGATAACTCGGGAGAAACCAATACTAGAAGCACAGTTACCTCCGAGAGCATTCAACCACAGCATGAGCAGAAGTTGTTTGAGGTATCAAGTCGAGGTTTCGGTCAAACAAGTGAGCTTTTAACCTCCGTGAGGATTAGTCTTAGGAAAAGTTGTATTACAAGACCAGCATCAAGGGTGGAGATTAATTCTGATAGGAGTCAAAGGGTGGAATCAAGGGACAGTAAATCTTCCTCCGGTAAGTCTAGCGTGGGATCTTCATATTCTGGTTATGAAGCTAAGAGGTCAACCGTTTCATGGATAAAGAGGAAAGAACAAACCCCAGATAGCAGAAATGCAACACGAATGACAGAAGCTTCCAAAAACAAAGTGAAACCTTCTAATATGCACGATAAAGCAAACCTTAGAGGTAAGGAAGAGAGCCGAAATTCTAGGATAGGCAGATTAGTAACAGTTACAAAGCAAACTTGGGAGGAAGCCATAAAATCAAAGGTATGAAGCACTTGGTACCTTCAGAAACTTGTCTACTTGTGCATTTGTATGTATTGTGCTTTCTGTGCAAAATACACAGTTTGAACTTAGATACTTAATACGGGTGGGACACATAGAATTTATATAATTTAAGCTTTATTTGGATTGATTTTCTTTATCTGATGTAGAATTTTTCTCAACTGGTTTATGTATGTCTAGAAGTTGCTTTAAGATGAAAAATAAACCATATTCTAAACACTGGATCATGTTGAAGAACCCATTGGTGTAACTTTTTGCAGGCTAGTTCTCAGACTCATCGTTCCAAACTTTCATTGCTAAACGAAGTCAATGAACAAAAGTCACTTGCTGGTGCTACAAAAGCTAGAGAGAAGATGGGAGTTGGCAGCAAAGTGATAGGTTTTGGGAAAGAAAATAACACAGGTGAAATTCATCTGGGCCAGAAATGCAATGGAAAAGGCAAGGCTGCTGAAGGCATGGTTGCAGGTAGAAAAGGGCCAAACCAGAGTGCATCTGCAAAGGGTGGTAAAACTCAGACGGTTGCTCCCAAGGTATTCATTTATGGTTTATGATTTTAGCCTTTTAGCCATGCTAAACAAATGATCACATAGAAGAGGTCTTAATGCCCTCCTGAGATATGATCATTCAAACTTATCGAGTGGGGCCTCCAGTCAGTGTTGGATTATCAATTTGATAAATTTCATTATCCTTAAGTTGCATATCTTAGAACTTAAAACACCCTTTGATTGTCCCCTTACATTTTTCTTTATAAATTCCATATTACATGGAAAAGTCTTAAACTTTAGCTTTGTCATCTCATCCACTATCTAATTTTATGTATATAATCTATGTTCCAACAGGGAAGAGTTGGTAATCAAAGGAGAGGGGGAAATTCTACTAATTCGATTCCGAAGGTCCATTTTCGATGAAGGAATAAGTCTCTGTATATAATGTCGTCTCTTACTTCTTGTAACCAGAGGAGCGTATACCACTTTTGTGCCACATTTTGGTGGTAAATTTTGGTTCTCATGGCTTGTGTGAAAGTACATTTTCACTTGCCATATTTTTCTCTTGTATGCAGCTCCTAAGGAATTCAAGAATCCTTTCCGAATCTCTCTTTCACTCTATTGTTTTTCAAACAAGCATTCAGTTCTCATTTCTGGAATCCGAACACAAATGAAAACATTTTAGTGGAGTTAGATGAATCCAAACACATAAACATGAGCATATTTAAATTGTTTAGATCGATTTTATATATTAAGTACTGGACATAGATACTTAAGAAACATTAAAAATCCAAATACTATAAACATGAGCTTAAACTTAACAGAATTATGTTTTTCAGACATGAATTTATTCGGAGGATTTTGGAGGATCATATCAGTATATCCTTATTAGAATATATTTCCAACATAAAATAAGACTAAAATTGGTACAAAAAGTGTAGAAATGTAACTGAATGCTAAGCTTTGATAGCCCTCTACATCAGCAAACCGGTTTGTCGAACAAGGTAATAATCTATGTTCGATTTTAAATCTAGATAAACTCACGCACATATTATTCAAACTCAAGTCACCTAGAAAGAACAACATCCCCTCCCTCGTTTAGTTCTTGTTAAATACTATATTTTTTAATAAATAAAATAACATATATACTTGCAAAAGTAAACCTGGTGAACCGTTTTGAATTTTAACTGTAATCCTGGATATATTTGTGGTAATTAATTTTTTTGGCCACAAAACTACTCTTGGCATCTTCTTTGCCACATTTCCCTCTCTACCATTCTTTCCGGTTACCACAAAAAAAATAACTATTTTTTTTTTATGTTTAACATTTCAATTTTCCATCAATGCCATGAGCTGATAATTCCACACCACTGGGCTTTTATGTTTTTTAATCCCTGAGGGACTAGTAGAGAGAGACGACAACAATGGGACGTCGTCTCTTTTCTTGTTTCAGCAAGGGTTCCTCTTCATCTTCATCAGGGACTGAAAACCATGCCAAAACCAATGGAACAGTAGATGAAGCTCCGCTCCCCGACGGCCCAATCATGGTGGAATTGTTTTCTTCCCAAGGTTGCGCGACATCCCAGGCGGCTGAGCTTCTGTTGTCGAGGCTAGGGAGAGGCGATTTCCGTCTTGAAGCTCCGGTGATCGTGTTGGCTTATCACGTCGATTACTGGGACTATAACGGCTGGAAAGACCCTTATGGATCGAGTCTATGGACTGTAAGACAAAAAGCTTATATCGAAGCCTTGAAACTCGACACAATGTTTACACCTCAGGTTGTGGTTCAGGGTAGGGCTCAATGCATGCCTGATGATGAAGATGTTCTTTTGTCCACCTTTGCTACTGCTCCCAGATTTCCAGCTCCATCATTCCAGGTTTGTTTTTGCTTTACTTTTCTTCGTTTTCTTCAAGCATTTCATCGTTATAACATGGAAAAGCTGCACTACTCTCCGATTACAGGCGAATTTCCAGAGGCCGACGTCGGAGACATTGCAAGTGACACTAACAGGAGCTTTAAGGTTTAAAGCAGACAACAATGGCGTCAAAGTAATGGTAGCTTTATACGAGAATGGATTAGTAAATGACTGCTCTGCAGGAGAAAATAAAGGGAAAGTTTTGTCCAATGATTTTGTTGTTAGAAAACTTGAAAAGCTCTGCAATGTGGAAGACATGGAGGCTAAAAAGACCATCTCAGGGACTGTTACCTTCACCCTATGGGATGGTTTCAACAGTAACAAATGCGCCATTGCTGTCTTTGCTCAAAGCAGCTCCCATCAAATTTTTGGTTCTCAGAAATTTCAGATTCCTCATCATATATGAAGAAAAAAAATAGTCAAATTATATTGAATTAATTTTTTGCATGAATTGGATCATATGAATTTTCTTACAGCCTTCTTTACTAAGGTATCCGGATTTATCGTGAGCTATGAGTAAACTCAACTCCAAGATTAATTGTGCAAATTCCTTTATGATTTACCTTTCTAAGTTCACCGTCATAGTTTAAGTAGGCAAGGCATATCACGAACACACATTTATATATAATATTTGATTTTTAAAAAAATATAAAGTTTAATTATAAAATAAATGTACACTCAAAATATTATTTTATTAAAGTAGAGGTCTAATGTTTCATTTTAAAACATTTATAGAAAAATTAATCATTCAATGAATGTATAGTGGTTTGAGTTCTAAATTTTTATAATATTTTAAAAATTATCCTTTAAAAAGAATTTTAAAATTCTTACATACCTAAAAATATTCTTAAAATACCTCATCCCAACCTCTTAAATCCATAATCTTTAAATCTTTAAGTCTTATGTCCTTATTGAATCAACCATCACCATTCATTCCTTCCTTTACTGGACTCTCAATGATTGATTGTCTCTAGGGATGGGCATGGGTGGTGGAGACGGATTTTTATTTAACTATTTTCTCTTCTATTGGGGTGCTGATTAATGAAATGGGATTCATCGAATTTATATGCCTTTGCTGACTAAATTTGTGTTTACTAAATATATATAAATGAAAGAGCCGTTAAACACTTGGTTGCTTGTTTGACAAATAGATGAGGAATGGATTATATCTTACATTTTCAAATTATTGTCAAGGGTTTGTTTGATAATTATATTGAATAGTTAGGTTATTGAAAATATATAGTTTTACTTTTTGATATTTTAAATATATATTTAATAATCAGAAATTAAAATTATTTATTAGATTTTTTAATGAAAATGTTAAAAAAATTAGAGTTAATTGCATTATATGCCCCCAAACTATAACCATCATTTTAAATTGATCCTTAAACTTTTGAATTTCCAATTCATACCCAAACTATGAATCTCATTCTAAATTAGTCCTTAAACTTTTGAACATTCTAATACCATCCTTAAACTATTACCCTCTTTCTAAACTGATCCCCACACTTTTGAATATTCCAATTTCATCCAAATATGTAATTAGTTTCAACCATAGTTTAACCTAAATTTTGTTTTTTTCAACGTATAAAATATAACTTGGCCTAACGATTTTATTAACAAGGGATGCGATTAGTATATACGTATAGTCTGGGATAAAATTGGAATGTTTAAAAAGTTTGGGGACTAATTTCGAATGTAGTCATAGTTTGGGGATGAAATTAAAATATTCAAAAGTTTGAGGACTAATTTAAAATGATAGTCATAGTTTAGTGATGAAATTGAAATATTTAAAAGATTAGGGACCAATTTAAAATGATGATCATACATTGAGGACATGTGATGCTATTAACTCAAAAAGTTAAGCAAATAACAAATTACTACTTCATGAAACAAGGTAATAAAACGTGGACGGTAATATTCGATTCGAACCAGTTCGACACGTCCACGAGCTACGAAGGAGGTATTCTTTGATGTATTTATTAAAAGCAAAGCTAATTCATCGAAGAGATCTTGTTCTATTCAAGAACAAAAGGTCCATCGGAAATCCAAAGATGTAGTATGGGAGCAAAATGGGGTATTCAAGAACAAGTGAAGTCATTCCACTTTTGTTTTGTTTAATTGTCTTCAAAATCAAGGCTCTTCTCCCTTTTTCTTCCAATCTAGTCTCCAAAACTTTCATAATCACTCCTTTTAGCTCAAAGAACAAGGGAGAGATTGTGTCTTGACAGGGGTTGGGTGCTGTTATAATGGGGAGTAGAGGGTTTGGAGCTGAGAAAAGAGGGAGTAATGGGAGATTAGCAAGTGTTAGCGATTATTATGTATGTCCTGTTATTGTTGATAGATATATTGAAGATACGAACCAAGTATTGTGACTATCAACATAGTTTACCCTATTCTAGTTAAGGCAATAGAAAACGCATAGATTACACAAAAATATAGAATACGAGATTAAAACACCAAATTTGAGATTTTTTTTGAAAAAGAAAATATTGAGTTAACAATAAAGATTGATCGTTTTGAAAGCAGAGCAATCTCTCCACTGATACTAAATATGGCCTTGCTAGAAAATGGTAGATTTGCACGGTTCCTGGCTTGACTTTGAGAAATTGAAAGAAAGAAGAAACCCCCCAGGTGTTTGGGGCTGTAAGCTGATGTCAAGCCAGGAACAATGCAACTCCGTCATTTCTACCAAGAGATGACTTTATCTGGGTTCCTTGCTCAAACTGCTGAGTATGATTTCTTCTAACAATTCTGGTTACCTTATATTATTGTTTATGTTTATTTATTTATTTAAAATTTCCAGTCAATACTAACGCCTCATTTTGCAGTAATTTTACCAACAACACATTCTACCTTCAAGTTTTCATCGTTAGCCGGGCTTTGCCATTGCTATATGCTGATATGATATGCTTGATGCAGTATTTGCTGATAAGAACTGAAGGTGCAGAAATGACATTAGGAGGTAATATTTATTACATGAGAGAAAGTAGAGGGAACTGGGAAGTTAGGTTGGGGGTTAATTATGCATGATATAACAGAACAATAATACACCATGCAAAGTATATGCATTGGAGTAGGTAGCCTTTGCCTAAAGTATGAATGGAGAGGAGTTCAACTAGTGAACACAAAATTATAATAAAAAAAGGGTAAACTACTTATTTAGTCACCCAACTATTACTTTAGTTCTGTTTTGGTCATCTAACTATTAGTATTTTAAAAAAATCATACTTAAAGTTAAATTTTGGTTCCATTTTAGTCACCCATGGTTAAAAAAATAACGGTGATGCTGACGTGTCACTATAAGGTAATGTCAGGTCATCATTGGAAAAAGAAAAGAAAATTGTCGCATTAGTAGTTCTGTTTATTTTTTAACGACGAGTGACCAAAACAGAACTAAAACGTAATGTTAGGTATAATTTCAAAAAATAATAATAATTGGTGACGAAAATGAAACTAAAATAATAGTTGAGTGACTAAATAAGCAATTTACCCTAAAAAGAATTATAATCTTTTTAAAACTTTCTTTTTGTCATAAACTTTTATATGAATATAATTTTAAGAATTATAATTTAAAAATAAGAGATTAATAAATAAATCTTGCAATACCCCAAATTAAAAATAGAGAAATTAACTTCAGTGACCGAAAATGTCTTATAATATACGATTTTAACAAACTTTTTTTGGATTTGCGAAAATGACCAACAAATTCTCAACGCGAACTCCAATTTCGCAACTCAGTTTCCAAATTCGCAACGCGAATATGTAAATCGCATTGCGATTCTGTAAATCGCAATACAGAAGTCAAATTCGCAACGTGATTTACAAATTCGCAACATTGAATTTCAAATTCGCAACTCGATTTCTGAATTTGCAACTCGATTTTCGAATTCGCAATACGAATTTTAATTTCACAGCATGTTTTATTTTCGTAACACAAATGTTTTGGGTATATAAACTACGCATCAGCAGCAACTCATAACCTAAATCCCTAAATCACAACTCATTCCATCTCCATCTATCACTCTCTCCAGATACATCCGTTCTTATATCCAACGACATCCTTCCCCATCTCTAATATTTTTTTACATAATTTTATTTCTATATAATTTTTCAATGATTTCTCTCCCAAATTATCAACTATCAACTTAATAAAGGTATGTTTTTCTCTAAGTTAGTGATGATATCTAGTTTATAGCTCGTTTGTTTAGTAAATTAATTTATAATTTGTAGAATGAAATCATCTAATATTGATCATGTTTGGATAGATTTGTGTTTTGGAGGGTCATGGGAGAATGTTCATGGTGTTTTACAATATATGTCTTTACCCATGAATCTGCAACTAAAATTGTCATTAAAAAAGTTAACTTATGAAACTCTAATGTTATGTGTTGTAAAGAAATTGAATTTAGAGCCCCTAAGTGGATTTAGGCTATCTTATCAGAGAAAATGTAAAGTTTATTTGTTAACCGACAATGAAGATATTGAACGATTCATTGCTTACATTAGTGTTTCGCAAGAAGATGATGTTACATTGTATGTTGTTGAACCTAGAAGTAGTGAAGTTGGGTCAGTAGCGGGTAGTAATCAACTAAGTGCTTCAACCCCAGTTTATGGTGCTCACAATGTACAACGTTGTTATCAACCTCAAAATTTAATGGTTCCACCACAATTTCATCACCAAGAAAATTTTGTTTCACTATATTTCCAATACCAAACACAATCTCAAAACCCACAACCTTTCCCTAATCCAAATCCCAATCAACTTTCAGCACCAAATTCCAGTTTTCGTATTGATCAGTTAGACGATGATGAGCCAACAGAAAAAATTGTGAGTACTAGTCAGTATTCGAAATTTGATCTTGGTCAATACCCGAACTTTGATCTTGGTCAATACCCGGACTTTGATGATGTTTCAGAAGAAGAAACAGACCCTGCGTGTAATGATTTTGATATTGGTCAATACCCGAATTTTGATGATGAAACAGCCGTTGCCGAGGAAGTTACGACTGTGAGTGAACATGTTAAACATCCATTCTATAATTCATATAACCCTGAAAAAGAAAAAGAAGAAGTCTCCGAAGAAAAATAAATAAGAAAATGCCACGAGAGTATAACTGGAATATGCCAGAATTACTTCAGATACCGGAAGAAGTGTTGGTAAAGATAGCAGTTGATTGTTACACAAAAGTTATTTGTATCAAGAAAGATGATTGTTTTTATACAAAGGAAGACTTGAAGATAGCTTTGTATACGAAATGTGTGGAAGATAGATCAACTAAAAGTTAACAAATCAAGCAAAGATCGTTTCGAAACAAGGTGTATGATTGACAAAAACTGTACGTGGCGTATGATTGCAAAGAGGATAAAAGATTGTGAAATGTTTCAAGTTAGAACTTTTATTGATAAACATACATGTTCAAGAACCCAAG